AATATTTTTGAAGAATTAATTTAAAAAAACTTTATTAAAATTTGTTGTTGTACATTCATAAAATTACTTGTTTACATTCATAAATCATCACACAGAGAGTGTGGTACTGGCCAATAATCTTCGGCGGTAGCATCACACACATGTTGTGTGAACGGCCATTAAAGTTGACTGTTGAGGTTAATTGTTACTAAACTCTTTTCTCAATGAAGCCGTCACTCAAATGGTGTCCCGTTCTTCAAATGAGAACACACATTCCGACTGGATTGCGTAAAAATTTTTCCCTACGTGCGATGTACAAAGGCCGGCATAATGGTTAACGTTGCTACCAAAAGGCGGGCTTAACGTCATGCGGGAAGAGTAGTATACTAAAAGGAACATTTGTTCACTGTTCTCCTCACAATAGATACGTAAATGAGATGCATGATCAACACGACCCCCTAGGCCGGTTTGACCTGGTTCCCCCTCCTACCACGAGGTGATACTGCGATTTTAATACGTGTGCATACGGTCGCTTACTACTTCGCGTTAAGGCTCCGGAGTATTCGCTGCGATCATATTGGATTCGTAACGTCACAAGTGAGACATGACACGTTGAGAGATATTGCGTGTCATTTGCCGTGTCAGACGTCCAAAATCCAGACCTGCTGTGACTTCATTGGTCGATTTCCAATCTCCGATCCGCAATCTTAATCCCTAATCCGTAGTCTGATACGGGCTTAAGGGACGAAAGCAAGCGTAGCCCTCGAAAATCGCTCGCGAAAGTGCAAGTAATTCCGAGATGCACTGCGCTAAAGGTATCGTTATAACGCGCCGTGGTCTCGTTGGCAACTGCTCAGACTGACTCGCAATTATCTCGTGCGCAGTTAGTAGACGCGGCCGCTGCACGTGGCCGGACGGATCTGTTTTTAAGCGAGCGCGCGTGTGTGTACTCCGCTCTATCGGGTGATACTTGATCGCGCATAATGAAAGCAAGGTACATACCGTCTCACTTGAAAAGGGGGAACGTCCTGTGAACGAGTGTGTGTGATATCGTGGTTCTCGCGAATTCTCCACGTACGATGAGAGAGAGAGAGAGAGAGAGAATACTCGGGGTTTATTTTTTGTGCAACTGCATTCTTTCTTCGGGCTTTCTTGTCCCGTCGAGTTGAACGATGCAAAACCATTTCGCGCCCTTGGAAGAAAGGAAGAAAAGAAGAAGCGAGTGCGGACACGCTGGAACGAAACGCGATCTTCGTCTGTGTTTCCTCATGATCGGTTCATGAACTTCGCGAATTGTCGTAATCGAGCGAAAAAGAAATGGTCTCGTTCGCGTGAATTAACACTATCGGGAACAGATCCATCGCTCATTCACTAACTATATTTGTTTTTTTGTGCCCGGGCACTTTCAGCTTTCCTTATTTTGCTTTCCTTAAGCGAAATTGTCACCGTGAGATATTATATAACACAGCTGTTTCTTTTTTCAAACGTAGAATACGCGACCTCGACTTTTGTACGCTATCAATACAGCACATCGTGGTAAAAAAAGTGTGTTCGCATGCGCATATATTTATATAATTCACATATATATTTATATAATTCATAATACACAGCGACGCTGCGAATACAACGAGTTGTAGGATCTCTTTGTGCGAACGTTTTGGGGAGCGCTGTATTTAGCCGTCGTTATATTTCATCTTCCGTCCATCTTCTCGCCTTCGTGAAAAGTGGAAGTTCCGACGATGCTATGATGCATCAATCTCGAGAATTTTTGAGAAACAACTGACTCATCTTTATCGCATCAATCGTGATAAAAAAAGAATTTATATATATATATATCGACGACTGCTTAGCCGAGTTTGAGGGAGATAAGTCAAGTTTAGAAATAAATGTTCGAAACAAAGCTATCGCTGCATGAAAAAGATATTGTCGAAACGATCGAAATCGATCGTCTCATGGTTCTATCTTTCGACATTGTACCTTGTCGAGTGTCGAACAGAAGTAAATTATAAACGAACAATGTTGCTCCTCCAGTGGCTCTCTTGCCGTGCATGCTTCAACGAGTATCACTAATTGAGCGGACTATCATCTAGTTAGGGCGATAATAATCGCGAGTTCTGGAACGCAAATCCGCGGGGACTTGTTTCCGCAAGGCTATTTGCACGGTCTTGAATAGGATTATTCCCATCCTTCGTATCCTCCAGGCAAGAGGGGAGGGCTCGTCAAATATTATCCGTGATATTAACTGACAATCAGTGTCGTGAGAATTTCGAGCAAATATTAAAGGATGGATAAGACGGTAAGATTATGGATAAAATAAGTGATTTGGCATCTCAAAAGGTTGCAGAGGCAAAAGCTCGCTGTTTGACACCGAAAACTATTCTAATCGAGTAAACATAAAATTAGTAGCTTTTCTTCCCCTCCCAGCCTGTATTCTATTAAAGAATCAAAGTGCGTCTAATAATATGGCCAGGGACTGTACAAAGCGAAATTTCTAGTTGTTATGAACCAATGTTGGTTTTTATAAAGAAAAATTTTTGGTTTTATTTTGGTTTTATTTTTGGTTTTATAAAGAAAAATTTCCTTTCGAGCAAAATGCGCTTGGTTGTCTGTCATCAGGCAGATCCAACGTGAAAAACTGATTTTCCAGTGCAGTTTTTCCGTACAATCGTATACACTGAAACCAATTATACACGATACGATCGGACGGCGCGTAGGAACGAAATGCGTTAAAAATCATAGATGCACGGTCGAGGAAAAACGAAAACGAGAAGAGTCGAGAACGAATTCTCTCGGCGGGAGAATTTGCAATTCGCAGAGAGCGAATCGAAGCGTAGGGAGACCCGGGAAGGCCGCTGCTCTGGAGTTTTTAATTTAGAATCTGATTCGCCTTTTAATTCCATTCAACCGCTCGCCGCTTTGTATTCAGCAAGCGTACAAAGAGCAATGAGAAAGTTTGAGAACCTCTGCGCTCCGCGGGATTCTCAATGCCAAGGCAATCGGGTTTCACAATTTCGCCAACGGGCATTGAAATTATTGCGCGATGATGCGATTCAAGCCGCGGATAAGCGACAATTTTCGTTGTTATTGTTATTATTATTATCGGCGGATTTTCTGGCGGATGTGGTCGTCTGCGCTGTTATTATTGCACCTCGCATATATAAAGTCAACAGCGCTGCTTGAAAAAATAAGAGAGACACTGTCGAGACTGCCTACGCCATGACTATGTAAACACATGATAATTGCAACGATAACGCGACAGCCGTTGTTTCATCGGGCTGAAATCATGCGCCATCCTTTGCAACTCTCCGTTCCCTCTTATCCTATCGAAATATAAAAAAGTCGAAACGATTGCCAGCGTTTCTTTTTTTAAATTGTCACAGCGTGAATTGTATTGTAATAATCAGTAAATCGCGGTTGTCGACGTGAAACAGAGCTCGCGGAATAATACCGAGTTACGCGAGTTGCGCGTTGCAACATGTTTTTTGTCTCGGTAAAATTAAACTGCCGCACTTGAGAATCCAGATATATCGTTTCCACAGAATGTCGGAATATTATGCAACGGACGACAAAGTCAAAACAAGAGATTAATCGCATATCTACCGCTAGATAATCGCGAGACGCACTCGTATATTCAAGTAAAATTCTCGTATTCAAGTAAGGAAGAGTTTCACTTTATTGTATACGAAAACAGTCAAAGCAATTACTCAATCCAGCGGATAACGAGATGTCTTATTTAACCGCGTCGCGGAAATTTGATTCTTCCAAATTATGTTGAATTAACGCGAGTAGCTTCGATTGAATTGCATACAAAGGACTTCGATTCTAATTAACAGAGATAACTTTAGCTTATTATCATGGAAATTTTATCAGTTTTAAATGAAATTAAATTCTTAGATGTGCAATAAATGCTATCTTCAACACGTTCGTGTGTTTATAATAATATGGCACTAATTTAACCGTACTCTTGCTCTTATTGGCCCGTTCCCTCTCCTATCAGTTCTACCGTCGACCGATTTTGGCAACAATCGATTAAATTATCAAGGCTCTCGAACGATATGACCGGGAAGCCAACGCGAGATACCAATTGCGAGCAGCCGAGTAATTACCAAAATTCACTCAAACGCTAAACACTGTATTCCCTTAAAAGGTACATATACACTTAAGAAACGAACGAATAGCGAATGCAAAAAACTTCCGTTGTTACATTTCGAAAAATATGCAAGGTAAAAATATGCCAATGCCTGAACATGTAACTAACTCTTGTTATTCTGGCCTCTAAATATTCAAACTTTCAACATAGGATACATATGCATACGTTGAATATATATGAATATTTTAAGTTTAATGACTTCTCGTTTGTATTTACTAAAACAACAAGAATATCCACCAATTAGGTACGCATCCAGCCATTGGTACTTCCATTTTGTGTCGTGACAAATTCGAATAGAACGTTTCGAGTTGATTTGTTCACATTGCGGCTTATCGGATGATTACGAACAGCAAATGCAAACTTTCGTTGTCGCAATTTGGAAATTGTGTACGCTATAACGGATCCGAACGCTTTTTCGAGACGATTTGCTCGTCAAGTTTTACATCAACGGAAGTTCGTTCAGACGCGAAACTGTACATTCAAATTACACATTCGCCGTTTGTACGTTCGCTCAGTGTGTACCCAGCTTTAAAAGTCGGCAGTTCGATTGACTTTGGCCGAGTCTCTTTGGCGTTTGCCGAAACTTTCATAATTACACCGAGAGCAAAATACAGCTATTTTTGGGAACGGCGAGATCCTTTTTTTATCTTAACCGCAAAAATAGTAGCATCAACATACACGTAAGATCATTGTCATTAACACTGAAGTGACATTTACCAGAAAAATAGTTCTCTCGACTATTTTTGCAGTTGAAATAAAAAAAGGACATTGTTGTCCGCGAAAATACTGTTATAACTGTATTTTCCTCTCAGTGTGATCCTTTCGCGCTCACCGAGGCGACGTTCGGGGCAGGTAAACACACATGACTTACCGCCGGTCTTTAGATCCACGCCGTCTTGTATAGGGATGAGCCACAAGGGGAAGATGCCGGTGAGACCGACCATCGTGCTCCCCAACAGCGAGAACACCCACGGTCGATAAGCGAAGAGCCCGTCGAAGTCGTTCCACGGCCAGGTAACGTCCAATCCCTCGTAGACGTCGTGCAGAATGTCCACCACGTCCGTGCAGTTACAGTCGATGCACGCGTCCGCCACCGTCGCCGCCATGTTTGTTGTCGCTCTCTCGTTCCTGTCAAAATCCCGTCTCTCGATCCTCCGTCGTCGTCAAAGCGCGTCGTGGAAGCGCCGGCTCGAGGATCGTCCTTCGTCGATGGAGAGATGATGCGCGACGCCCCTCCCCGTCAGCCTGACGGAACACCGTCCGGCTCTCCGCCGTGGATAACCTCTCGGCGCGAACGAAAGCAGCCGTCGAAACAGCGCGCACACCTCGTGGAAGACGATGTTATCACGACGACGCGTTCGAAGACATGCGAGAGAGAGAGAGACAGCCTCGCTCTAGATTACGCGTGAATGGAGAAAAGGAGTTCTCGATCGCATCAGCAATCTCGACGCTCTACGTCGATGTTGTGAAACATTCGTTCGTGGGCGCGCGCGTGGTTCGTTCGCACTTCTGCTTCGCTGCAGAAGGTCGTGTGTTGTTACGTCGCGATGTGCCGGAAATGCCGGGACAACGACCGCCGAGCGACCGGCTAGCCTACACTGAGGACTGAGCGCGGACGCTTGGAATCAGGACGTCGTCGTCTTCGCCGCCGCTTCGTCGAGACCAGCTCTCGTGCTCGTCGTGTTATTTCATGCCGCTGTGTCGACGCGCGTACCAACGCACCGCCGTCTTGGCGAGCCGAGTGCCATGCGACCGCGATCTCGGAGACGCGCGAACAACGTCGTCGCGCCCTGGGCACCACCACCTCTCACGCTCTGCTTCCGGCTCTGCGTACGTTTCTTCTCACGATCACAATTCTCCTCTCGCGGTTGATTCGTGGGTCTCTCGTACAATCGCTCTCTTGAAACACCACCAACACGTATCGCGACCGAGCGAACGACTGATGCGCGCTCCGCCGAGAGCGGCGGCTTTTATAACCGCCGCGCATTGCCCGTGAGCGGAAACGAGAAGGAACGAGCGGCGCCGACGAACGACGAACGAGGACGGACGCGGATATTGCCGAGGACGACGGCAGGAGGGCGGTAAAAGGCGACGTCACTGTGACGTGTCGCGAGGGTTAGTCAGAGACGCGCAAGAGGCACGGACGAGAAAAAAAATGAGACTCGGGAGAACGGAGAGAAGGAGCGCGTGATATCCGCCGTAAGGTCCGTCGATTATTTGCTTCGTTTCGGGAAAACGGGAACGTCCTTCTCTCCGCATCGCGATTTCCCTCAATTTCGTTTCACCGTGATTTGAAACCGTGGTGGAGAACAAGCAGTAGGAGTGTGTTCATAAAAAGTAAGAATAAAAAAATTTACCAATTATATTCGAATGTAAGGAGAATATTCGATTATGATAGGTTAATTTCTTACTTTTGCTTCTTATAAATGTACTCTTACGGCCCATTATGGACGAGGTTTTTCCGCTTCTCTGCGGAGAGACGATAAGAGAAAGAGAGAAAGACAGATCCGTATTCTGAACTCACTTTTACCAATGAAAGCGCCTTAAATGTACGGCTTCTTTCGGCCAATCGGGTCCTTAGAGGTCACTTTTCGAAGCACTTTTATCGATAAAAGCTCGGAATATGGACCATCAAGAAAAATGGTCAACGAAGAAGTTGTGCCTCGGAGCGGAGGGAAGATATTCGAAATAATCTCTCCCATTTGGACAGCACGACCGGCACGATCGTGCCCACCTCCAACCGGATCGTCATCCTGCCGATCTCTCTGCCGTATTCTTTCCTTGGAATCTGTTTTTTTATACCTCGACTCTGAACCATTGATAGCGGTGCACGCTATTATCAGCCGATAAGTGGACCCGGCAGCGATTGGCCGCAGATAACGCGCGATCACGATGTTTGTTCCTATCTCGTAATTTAGACTGGCGACGATAAAATCGGCGGATAAATCGCGTTATCAGTGCGCGCACACATATTGTATTACACACGTATTCGGATACAGTGAACCCCTAATCACCGGATCACGGATCGTTTGGATAGCGTTCGCGCTCGCGATAATTCGTGCGACGTCCGTCTCGCTTTTGAATTTCTGCGTGAATTTCACGAGAGAATCGGACATTGCGTTGCGGAACGCAGATATCAACGATGTTTCCAATTCAAAGACGCAGATTGCGGAGGAGGAGGAGGAGGCGCTATCTAGTGGATCAACGCTGAAGTAGAATACGCATGGCGGCGAGGCTATTTTTAGTACAATATTTCAGGATAACTGATCGTTGATGCGAGGAGCGAAACAAAATAGCGAAATGCGACTCGCGTTAAATCTCGGACTATAGTAAATATAATATAAATAGTAAACATAGTAATAAAAATTAAAAGAAACGGTGTTTCTAATTTTTCACTTATATTCATTACATTAATTGAAATTAATATGTAACAATATATAATTATTATATAGTTGTTCACAATGTGTACTCGTATTTATATATTATTACGTACATATTTGCAATGTATTGGTTGTAATTTTTTGAAGGTAATATGTTCCTTATAAGCGCGTAATATTATTTAATATTAAGTAATATTTCTAGAATATTAATAAATGATTATATGTCTTCTAATTTAAAAAATAGTATTATGTAATATCATTATAATATTATATATTTTTTTTAATATTCAACTCTACGTATATATATAATATATATAATTGTTTTTGATTTCAAACGTATTGCAATACCAATAGTTTTGTCATATAAATAAAGCCAATAGAATTTTGTATAAAAATATGTTTTCTACAAAAAAAATCATATATATATATGAAATACAAATGGGAATAACTTACTTGCATTTTAATATCATTAATCCTCGTGCAATATTTCCAATTTATTACGACATGAAATCTCTATCATACTGACGTGTCATCGGGCGCATTGATGCGCGTATTATCTAATTAACCCTCGATTGATTTGAAAACGTTCAACTTATTTATGCCGATTCATCATACAATTGCGTTACGCTCGTGCAATAGCGGTCGCTGGCTGCTTTACTGCAGTTTGTTAATCTTATCGATATTTCGTGACGACTATTCGTTAGGCGAGTGAATTTCAGAGCGCACAGAGGCGCGATTGTAAAACGAACGAAGTTCTACGCAAAACATCGCGCGTTTAATTTGCAATTACGCGAGACAGTAATTAAACATCGTGTTCCTTGGATGATCACCAAGTGGTGGTATTGACGAACAACGACAATCAAGCACACGGCGTGTAAGCCGCACATCCGGTGTCTCGAATCGCAGCCAATTGAAAAACAGTGGAATTTACATAACACCTTATTGTCTAAGAAGTACGCGTCACGAAAACTTCGGAGTAGATTTAGATTTGACCGCGGGGAGAGAACAACGCAACGAGCGTTCGATCGATAATTCGATACGTAATTTACACTACGGCTACGTTTTCAACGCCAGCATTGTTCTTGGAGTGTGACAGGCAACCGTTAATTATGGCAAATGTTTGTGTATCTATACGGTTGATGAATAAATGCAAAAATAAAGTGACAAGTGATTGAAATGCGCGTTAGACCGCGATGAATTGAATAAAATGCCAAATAGCTTGACTGAGAGAGCTTTTTCAAGTACAATCGTGTAAGCTTGCGTTTGATTACAACAATCTCAATAGATATTTTGGCTCGCACCTCAACCTCGAATATTGCGATGAACGGAACATGTTTACCGCGATATAGTCTGCGAGAATGAATTTGGATTGAAATCAAAATACTTGCGAGCGCGAAATCCGTCATATTCGCGAGAGAAAGAGAGGAGAGAGAGAGAGAGAGAGTCGCGTTCAAGAAAACTCTATTATTTTACAGAAAGAACGCTATTATTTGAAATAACATCTTTCAACCAAATAAAATATTATTTAGTTACAATAAATATGTAAAATATAACAAATAATTTCTTTGTAAGAAAATTATTTTTTGTTCCAACCAAATTTCTTATTTAAGATAAAAATACATATTCGTTGAGAAGTCTAACAATCGTATTTATTAATCGAAATATTAGTTCCTTTGGAGCAATGTTGAAATTTGTTTGGATGCAATGAAATTGATTAAATCTGAAGAAATCTTTGTCTCTCAGTGCCAATACTTTCGGCTAATAAATTTGTACTTCGCAGCGAATGCATTTTAGCTCTGACAGCCAACTTTTACCAAGGACGGCAAAGTTTGAAACTAGCTAATGAGGTTTAGCTGCTATCACTAAATCATTTCTCCGAGTGAATCCTCGGCGTATACTCATGTCACGGATCGAGGATCGAGCTATGTCAAATATATATTATATGTATCTCATTGTACTCGCATAATGCGCGACCTTAATTAATCAAACCGCATGCGGCAGATTGCCAAGGGCTTCCGCTTGGATCTTGGTCAACGGCGAATTCATTGACAATGCCGATTACTCTACATCCGGTTCTTCGTTCTGAAGGACACACGTCCGTCGAAGGGATCCGCCCGAAAAGTCGAACGGTCAGTTGCACAAACGTAGAAATCATTTTCAATCGGGACAGAAACGCAAGCAACGCTGCGAGCGTCGGGAGTTTGCGAGCGGCGGGAAATTTGCGCGAAAAAAACCAACCGAGAAGAAGAACGTTTCGAGAATCGCGAGAACGGAGGGAAATTCGTAGTCTCTCAACAGCCATCCGACTGTCTCGGTGTACGAGGAAAAATCGCGTCTCTCTTCTTTGTCTTACGAAATAACATTTTGTCGACTATGAGTCAGTTGGTCGAGCTGCCTCTTGGCAGCTCGGGTTGAATAACAGGAAATGAGCTACATTCTCCGAAATATTCAGAGGACGATAAAAAGTCGCTCTTTCAGATACTCGTCACTTTAGTTAATCGCGCATATTGCGTATCGATTTGACGAGGATCTCAACGGCGAGAGTCCGTTTAACAAGTAACATTTTTCAGCGAGAGAAATTCATCTTCTCCCTCTCTCTTTCTCTCTCTTTTCCCCTCTCTGATTGCTCAAACGGAAAAGAAAGATCAGCTACAGTCAGCTAAATTAGTTGTAACGCACGGCCACCTAAAACTTTAGCAGCAGCATAAACAACTTTGATCGCTGCAGTAGCAAACTCTTTCGCTAAGTGTCATAATACGTTTACTGCAGCAGCAAAAGAGTTTGCTGCCGCAGCTGTTAAAATTGCTTACACCGCTAAAGTTTCAGGTGCCCACATGTTATAACTAATTTAGCTGCTGTGCAGCGCTAATCTCTTTTTTCCGTGCACGCGTTTGCATGAGCGTCTCTAAAGATGCTCGGGAAACAGGCGCGAGAGTACGTATCACGAGGTATCACAATGTAAATTTCAGGGATGTGACCGAGTATACGCGGGTCCACACGTGTGGGAGAAAACTGAGCGGGCTCTTGGCAGAAGTTACGAGTGAAGTTTAGCGTGCTCGCGGATAAAGAGCGGAGAACGCGCGCTCGTGTATCTCCTCTTCCACGATGTGAATCCTCTTTCCTTCGACGCACATTTAAGAAAAAGAGAAAAAAAAGAAAGGGAAAGAAAAAACCGAAGAAAGAGAGAGAGAAAAAAATTTACTCAGGCTCCGCCAGCACGCTCGAATGATTCGCCTACTTCGAGGTGCTTGTGCTTCGCGGAGCACTCCAGCGGCGGGCGTCTATTTTGAGAAAGCGGCGAAACATCCGATTATTTTAGTTACAATTTTTCTCCTCCGAACGCAGAACGCAGGCGGACGTCTACGACGAACATCACGACGATGACCGAGTACGTTGCTTCTCGGCCCAGATAAGCTGAAATGCACGGGCGAGTGTGAATTCTCTAATCGAAGCTCATCGAGAATTTATCGAATCCACCGAAATATCCGCGTGGATCGGTGCGATCGGCCTCAGCTGCGGCTTCGCGAAACTTGTGAAAGTGTGGCGGATAAGTTTACCTGTTCTGTGCTTGGCGATAGTGAAAAGAAAGGAAAAGAAAAGAAAGAACGCGCGTCTTCTCTCCGAGATCATCGCAATGTGATTTCGCACTATCGTCTTCTAGAAAGAGTTGACTCGATCGACGCGTTTATGTTTCTATTGTGTTTTTTTTTCTTTAAGTGACGTGGCGTAAACGAGGGTCGAAAGCAACGAGTGCGGAAAGAGTGAGAGAGAGAAAGAGAGAGAGAGAGAGAGAGAGAGATTGCGATCTCGCGTTGTGTTCCCTTTGCTCTAAAGTGACATGTGCAATCCTTCCTTTGGTTGGCTGCATAATTAATTAACACGGCATCGGCAAATGTTTGTCGTGTTGTTGCATTGTTGCTGAGTTCGTCGTTGCTAAGTGGCTTACCGAAAGAGAAAAAAAAATAATAATAACAGCGTGAAAGCTGCTGCCCGCTTCGTGTTTCCATTTCTCGTTTCTTCGATTTCGCGCAACTCGGATCCCATTCTAATCGATTGTCTTCGTTCCTCATAATCTCGTCGTCATGGATATACGAAGAATGTCGAATTGGAATGTCCTGAGCGTGGAGGCCGCTCTGCAACAGCTCAACGCTTTCGAAGATGATCCGGAGAAGATAGTAAGGCGTCCTAATACGGTAAGCAAATTTTATTCACACGGTGATAGCGAGTAGTCGTCGTCACGAGGAGACAATGAAATTCTGCGAATATTTTGCAAATTTTCAAACAGCGATAAACTATTTGACGAATGTTAAGGTTGAACGAACTGAAAATTCGAGCTATTCGCTGCGGATCCTATCACGGTTTTAGACGCGATAATTGCGGGGATTTTATTTGCAGACAATACGACTACGCGCAAATTTCCACTTTACAATTGCGCAATCGGCACAATAATTTTTCCATATCTTTCTCGGCGAATTATCCACTGGAACGTACCGCTCGTTGCGAAAGCGCGAGCTGTCAGGCCGAACCGCTGGCGGATTTCGCGCGATTATGTCAACGTTCGGCCACTCGCTTTGTCGCTTCTTTTCCACATAGCGAGTGTCACATCAATGTGCCGAGGAATGTCAATAGGTCTTCCCATTTTGGCCTGATGCCTGCCTGCCTGCCTGTCTGTCTCTGCTTGCCTTTATTTATAACTAATTAAAGCAGACTCAGTCGCAAGCGCCGACTGTTCTAGAGCGGTCAAACGTCGACGATCCGCTCGCGAACAGCCGCGACAGGCCACTCTTCCCCTCTGGTTTTTCCAGCCGCGAATCGCGAGCAAGTTCCTTTCGAGCCCCGTGAAATGTGTGAAAGGCGTGAGTTCGCGAGCAAAATTTCGTGACTGCGAAAATCCCGCGTCCGGTTTTCCTCGTCTTCGTCTCTCGCCCATGACTAGTTACTCGAGCTCTGACGATGACCACTTGGACGCAATTAGCCGTGGAGCATGTCAGCGCAATTACCAAGGATGAATTTACCACGACTCATCGTGGGAAGTCAACGGTAACCCCCGATCTCATAAAGATATAAAGATATTATTTCGAATAATAGCGTGTTCTTTCTGTTAAATAATAGAGTTTTCTCAAATGAGACAATGAAATTTTTACTCAAACAAATAATATTTCGTACAAGTATATGTTGCTTCTATGAGACAAATATTAGTCAAATAAAGAGAAATATCAAATATAAAAAAACCCTTTACCTCTGTGTAGAATAATGAGTCCTTGACATAATTCGATCGATAGATGAGCCGTATTATAAAGCCGGTCCTCGGAAGTCTCGTAATGAAATGTAAAAAATTAAGATGCGTCTAATAACATGGACAGGGATTATATATAATTTTTCCGCTATGATTACATGATGGTTACAGTCGCAAGTACGATATATTTTTCTTTCGGTATACTATTAGGAGAAGAAAAAGACGTGTTATATTTAAGAAATATTTATCGACACCTCGCAAGAGCGACGAGATTTCTCGCATCCTGTTAATGGTGAGTCACGGTACATATCTTCTCACATCGCGAAAAATTTCTGGCGCTTCACTCGGCTGACAGACGATGGACGAGCGAATTCCATTCCCCTCCGTTTCCTCCTTCATTGGGACGTCGCCGACATTTTAAAACGAGACGAGACACTCGCGAAAAAATTCTCCGATTACACGGTAGAGCTCAGTTTTATAGGTAATTAATTCCGATGGGATAGTTTAGCTTCACGCGGGTTACTAACTCCCTCGATTAACGAGCGATTTTCATACTTTAATTGTGCGATACACAAGCATAACCTGTTGCTGGTGGCTCATTAGGTGTATCGCATTGAAGTTGTGCCAATTATTACGGGCAAAGCACGCGAAAGACGAAGTAGATGTAGTGCGAAGGTGTTGGATTCGTGCGATGTTAGCGTATATTTATTAAAACGGGCAAAAGCAAAAGACCGCCTACGATCTAAGCGAGGTTGTTTTTTCATTAATAACCGTATCTCTCGACGTCTCTCGAGCTTTTCACGCTCGATTAATGCTAATATCATGTCAATAAATTTCACGCATTGAAAGTAAAGCGTATACGCTCACACGAACGAGGCGTTCCGCTCGCTTGCTTATTGATAGCTCGCCGGATTTATCGACGAGATGCGCGAAATAGATTTTCTTCGTGTGAAAAAAAAAAAATTGGTGACACGAATCGATAAAGAACGCGTTGGTGGAATTGGGGAAACTTTCTTGCTGCTTTAACAACCAAAGTGTACGTCTGAGATACGGAAATCCGCGCGAGGCGAACAGACGGACGGGCGGACGCGTCGATTTTTAGACAGGACGGGAAGTAAATTTCATGAAAAATGTAAGAGTCGTCCGCGGTTCCCCGGCTGCTCGTGAAGACGCGAGACGGGGGTTTAAAATAAAGCGGCAGGCAAGCCTTCCAAGTCGTATATTTAGGGCGACGCGCAAGCGCGCGCGATCCGATTAAAAGCGCCGAAGAAGCCCGTAGTCCGAGGCTCCCCCGCCGAATTCCACCTCGCGACTCTAACAAACCGCGTGTATAACCGCAAATAGTAATTTCCTCTCGTTTTCGCCCACGCTGAATCAGCCCGTCGGAGCCGGTGGTGATGCGCGCGCGCGCGCGCTCGCGGATCGGCGAGGAAACCGGTGAAAAGAAGCGCGCATGGGATAGGAAAATTCGAGGATCGAGAGAGATTTAATTCGTGCCGATTTCGTGCGCCGCGACGTGCCGCCGCACACAGTGACGTTTGATCTCAAAGAGCGAAAACGAAGGTGACCTCGTCGCGTTGAAATAGCCAGCGGGGAGGAGCGGAAAAATTTAAACCGAGCCGAACCGAGCAGAAACGCGTGTGCGGGGAGGGTCGAATCGGTACGAATTCGTGCGAAGACGAGAGGAAGGAAGACGCGAGACGCTTCGGTCGATTCTCTTTTGATCCCGATCGACGCGTCGATAGAGGCAGCGAATCATGGATCTCGGCGGTGTCGACGTTTGGGGCCAGATCGCCCTGGAAACGTCGCAGATGTACGTTTCCGAGGGCGGCGTCATTAAGAGTCGTTTCGCGGGAACCGTAAGTTAACGTTTATTAATTCAACGACGCATCACTTGCGATGCGATCTGTCCGTCCATTTCTCGCGGTCTTCGCGATGTGAGGTTCGTTTACCGTCGTTTCTTTGTCAGAAATCCGACATGGCTTCTCCCTTCCGATATCTATAAACGGAATTACACTCCGGGATCGCGCGTGTAATTCGGAAATTCAATTTCTCGATATCCGTTTCGCCTGGAGAGAGTCGAGCGAAGTCGTCGGGATCGACGCGTGAAGAGCGACGAATATAGCACGATCTGACAGCCAAGAGAAAGAGAGAGAGAGAGAGAAAGAGAGAGAGAGAGACGGGTGTCGGTAATTACGTCACGGGTTTTAAAGCGCGCCCGCCGCGCGAGTGGGAGCAACAATGCGTTCGCCGTTTCGACTCGTCGAAAATGCCGTCGGAAACGCCGAAACGAATTAGTCCTAGTCTACTAATAGGTGCTTTAAGAATCCTTAAGAAATTGACCACAATCATAATCGAATTATAGAAGAATAATCAATTGTGATTGGTCAATTTCTTAAGGCTTGAAGCTTAAAGCATCTATTGTAGACCGGGACGGTGCTCCAGCGGAGGAGGAGAGCCTTCCCGACGACAGCACGACTGACAGCCCCGTGACCTTTTGCCCCGCAGACGATCGAGAAGCTGCCGGACAAGGTGTTGCTAAATATCTTCAGTTACCTGTCGCATCGCGAGATATGCCAAGTCGCTCGCATCTGCAAACGCTGGCGGCAAATCGCGTACGACACGCGTCTCTGGAAGCACGTGTCGCTGAGACCAGAAATAAGCGGGCTTCACGTGGGTTCGTTGGAGAGCTTGCTGCACTTAATCAGGTAACGCGCGCGAGGTCACGACGACACGACCCACGACGCTCTCTCCTCGAAGACGCCCGTCGCCTTTTCTCTAACGCTCTAATTTTATCCGCCGCATGATACACCGATAGGAGGAGAATGATTTCGACAGACGGACTGCCGTCTGTTGGATTTTTTCCTTGATGATCCTTGATACAAACGTTCGAGAAAATGGTTTCGCAGTAATAGCAAAAATTATCTAAATGCGAGAAATTAGCTAAGATGAATAAACGTCCAGCAGACACTTCAATATCATATGTGTGTTGTATCTAATCAATATAGGAGACAGAATTTTTCTCTGAACTATTTGTCTAACTTAGCAAGAAAATTTCAATGGAGAAATGTATATATATATATACATATATATAATATAATAATAAATGTATATATAAATATATATATATATTTCAACTTTGTATGTATTATGTGTAAGGCTGAAAATCGTGTAACTCACCGTCCAGGGAATGATATAGCACACGTGACATTATACCAGATTGTTCGATGTTAACTTCTATGAAGAAGATTTGTTGCTCGGTTTTCATTTTTATCAATTGCCAATTTACACGTCCGACGCGAAATCGCAACTGACGACTCGACGTTTACGCAGCGCACGCTTCGGGCCTTCGCTGAGATACATCGAGCTGCCGATCGAACTGATCACGCACACGGTCCTTCATGAATTAGCCAACAAGTGTCCGAATCTGACGCACATGCTGTTGGATTTCTCGACCGCCATGCAGCTGCACGATTTCTCGGAGATGCAAGCGTTCCCCACGAAGCTGAAGTACATGTGCATCTGTCTGTCCGAGGTGATCTTCATGGAGGGTTTTATGAGGAAGATTTACAATTTCATCAACGGCCTCGAGATTCTTCACCTGATAGGTTAGTGACGGGGATAATCTCATGGCACGGTACTCACTCTCTCGCAATTTGTTTTCAACGCGAAGCCTTATCATTTCCTCCAGGGACTTACGAGAAGGTCGAGGAAGAGGAGGAGGAGATTTACGAGGTGATAAACGTGCACAAGCTCAAGTCGGCGACGCCCAATTTGAGGGTGATCAATCTGTACGGGATCAATTTCGTCGACGATTCGCACATCGACGCGTTCTCGTCAAATTGCATCCAATTGGAGTGCCTGGCCGTGAATTTCTGCGCCAAGGTCACCGGCTCGACCATGAAGACGCTTTTCCAACGAAGCCGGAGACTCAGATGTCTGCTCATGCAGGGAACAAGTGAGACATTATCGATGCTGTTGTTCCCTCGAAATAACAATTTCTTCAACTTTGTTCTTAATATTTTCCCAATTAGCTTCTTCTTCTAAATCATTCATCGCGAAGCTCACAAAGTAGTTAGTCCATTCAAATAAATTTCCCGAAGAATCCTTTGTCGGTTTCTGTTCGCGGACGCTGACGATAACGCGTTTACCGCCTCAACCAGCTCTCTGTACGACGTTTTAGGTCTGCAGAGCGAGTATGTGATGCAGGTCGAATGGGAAAAGTCCAGCGTTCAGGAACTGGACGTTACCGCTACCGACTTGTCGACGGAGTGCCTGATCGATATGCTAACCAGGATCCCCGGGCTTCGTTTTCTCAGCGCCGGTCAGCTCAACGGTTTCAACGACAGCGTGCTGAAGGCCTGGACCGAGGTCGGCAATCCGCGTAACCTAATAGCGTTGGACCTGGACAGCTCGGATAACTTGAGCGACGACGCGTTGTACAAGTTTCTGTCGAGGCATGGTCATCAGCTGTACGGTCTCGCGTTGTCAGGCATGCCGCACATCACGGACCAACTTTGGCAAAGCGTACTGCCGATTCTCACCAACGCAAAGTGAGCTCGACTTTAATTTAGCGGGAGCACGCAAACGGAAACACTGAACGTCATTTAAATTAGTCATGGGAGATAATTACAGCAAAAACTAATTAAATGCTTTACTGGCTTTAAAAATAACGTCTTGAGAGAGAGAGAGAGAGAGAGAGAGAGAGATAATTTAAGATACTAATATTATTCAATATTCAAGATTTTGAATTAAGATTATACGTTCAGAATACTCATAATGGGCACTCAAGAAAGGCTGGGTGTCAACATTCACGTGGACCAGTTAATGGACGGCATCGCCAACAACTGTCCCGATCTGGAACGTTTGGAGCTGCGATGGGACCCGGAGAACTTGCGTTTCTCCGACAAGAGTCAGAAGGCCATAGATATCTTGCGCGTCAAGTGCATCAAGCTGCGATGCTTGGCTTTGAGGTGAGAGACGAACAAAACTCGTCGTACAAAAAGAGAACGGACGGTGTGAGCGTGCGAACGTGTCTCTTCGTTTCAGCGACGGCAGATACTACGAGATCGTGAAAGCGAACTTCGAGCGCGCCGATAGGCTGACGGTCGTCAGGACGATCACCTGCTGCAGAGCGTCGCACTACTACCTTCTGCAAAATTACAAGGATCTGATTTTCAATTGAGAGGCGTGCCGGCGCGCCTCTGACAGATGCCTGAGGAGAGACTACCACCTCACATGGTTTCCTCCACGACAGTATTAACGTAAAGGATCCCCGACGACGTGGCGAGAAAAAAGCAACGCAACACCGAGGTCTCGCATTGTACAATAATAATAATAATAATAATATCTCTAATTTAATGTCGCTATGAAGAGAATGTTATTTTCAACGCGAGCTTCCGAAACTCTCTCCGAAAAAAAAAAAAACGCTCCCTCTTTTCCCTGTAAGCACGTAATATTCCTCGAATATTATATGAATATTATTAAATATTAAAATAACATTCCTATAATATTGTAAGAATATAATGTGATATTAAATAATGTTACTAGAATATTATTAGAACATTACGTCTAATATTCTCAGAATATGTCCGGAATACCACTTGATATTAAACAATATTACACGCTTACGCTTTTTTATATCTGCGAGACAGAGCCGTCCGCCGGACGCAGGCGCGTCGTCCTCGCCGTCGCTACCCTTGCACGGAACACGCTGTCATTGCCGAAGTGCCTCGGCGAAGTAAGGCCCGCGTTCAGGACTGACACTTGCCGGAGGCACGCTGACGCCGACGGTGGTGGACTGCGGTGGCGAGCTATCGATTATCCGTTAATTTATTCATGCCGCGACGAGTGGTGGACGACTACAACGCCGCACTGGCCGGTCGATTCGGACTTCGCCGTGGCGGCTAGCCGCCGCGTTACGCGCCTCGCTATAGTCGGCTGAAGAGCCTCGCTCCTAGTTGTCGTCGTCCTCGTCGTCCTCGGACCCACTCGCATGACCGCCATCGGCCGCGTCCCTCATGTCGGACGTCGAGGAGGATTCGGCCGAGAAACGGCTGAAAATCGTGCTCGTGGGTGACTCCAGCGCCGGCAAAGTGAGTTGAGAAAGAGTCAGTGTCGCGTTCGTCTTCGCAATCGAAGGCGCGCGCGAGAAAGAGCGTGCTTCGAGGTGGTTGATCCCGTCCGCCCTCATGAGCAGCCGAAACGACGGCACCTGTCCGTCCGGCGCGTCGCCGTTTAAATTTGTTTGGCGATCGCCATGGCGAAAACGGTGTATAGCTGTCGAGGGTTCCTCAACAGGTGACGGCGAACCTGCTACTTCTCGGAGGGGCTGCTCTCGATAAGTAGTCTCTCCTTCCCTCTTCTTATCCTCTTTTCCTTCTTTTCGTAATTAGCGTGCAGGCGAGAAGGTCGATAGGAACTATGCGTCTGACTTTCCTCTTCTTACTTCTTTTACGGTAATGAGACGGTCAACGATATGACTTTGTTTAATAATTATGTTTAACAATTAGGATTCTTTTCTCTTTCTTTCTTTTTCATTTTCATCTGATAACGCGACCACCGCGACAATGCGACGCGCGCGCTGTGGATTAACGATGAATGTGACACGCGCGGACCTGGATCGATGAGGACGACTTCGATTCGCCGACGCGAAGAAACTTTCAGTAACACGCGGCTTTCGCTTTTGCGGTTACTCCGTATCATCTCGAGCCAGCGAGTTACCAATAGTCGTGCGCGCGACACAATAACGTCGATAAAAGGCGCGGACGCGAATTCCCTAATCGATGTTTGTCGAGCATTAACGAAACATGTAGGTCGAGCATGAATTTATTAACCTTTCAAGCTATTTTCCTTTCATACACGTTTTCGTATTCGCCGTGCGACAGAGCGAGGTCGCGACGACGACGATGCAGCTCGACGTCGTATCGAACGTCGCTCCGAGTTGAATTTAATCTCAGGAATCGCCTGAGAGAAAGAGAGAGAGAGAGAGAAATCCAAATTTCAATTTTATTCTCGGTGATTTCCCTCCCTAAAGTGTGAAACGCGATTATCGTCCGTCGCGAAGCGTTAATTGATGCATCGGAGTGAGCGTCGCGTTGGAGCGAGCAGATAAAGAGCACGATTGAACGTCGAGCGGGTCGATACACCCGGCGCGTTTGAGACACGCGATGAGCAAAAAGTTTTCTGAAATCGCGTCGTTGCAATTTTCTCGTCTGTTCGTTCGGGGATTACCGAATGACGGGCGGGTATCGTTATTACCCGACATGATCCTGCCGTGATGACCCGTTATTCACCGGTCGCAATACCTGTCATTCTTGATAATTGAAATTCAAGGATCCTTCCTTAGACCAGCATCGTCCAGAAGTTTTGCAACAACGACTTTGCCCGTCAGTACGTCCCCACCGCCGGCATCGACTTCTTCCTCAAGAACCTGAGCATCGGTTGCTACAAGAATGTCAATCTGCATCTGTGGGACGTCGGCGGGCTCGCTCTGCACGGCAACATGCTGGACAAATATGTCTTCGGGGCGCACGTAAGGACAGGCTTACTCACAGCCGCGCGAAGTATCGCTGCCCCAAGGACGAAAAAATTCGTTTAGATGGATTCACGCGTGTTTGGTTAAGATTTGCCAGGTTTACTTTTCACCGTGAAGAAGAAAAGGCGAAAAATCCGCGGAAAATAGGGAATATCAGTTTTTCTCCGAGCCTTTAAAACTGTAAACTTTCGGCAATTCACCAATGCACGATTGCGTTTTCCCCTCGAATCAGATTATCCTTCTGGTGTACGACGTCACCAACAGCTCAAGTTTCGAAATCTTGGAGGAATGGCTCGGTCAGATCAGGAATTTCATCGACACTTACGAGGAACCGCCTCTAATAGCGGTGGTGGGTAACAAGTGCGACATGGAGCATCAGAGGACGGTCAAACGCGATAGGTCACATCGATTCGCCGCGGAGAACGGATTCCCGTATCACGATATGTCCGCGAGAACCGGAGAATCGGTAATCTTATCCTCCCTCCTTTAAAAACCTTGCGCGCAAAGAAAAAGATTTCTTTGGATTTAGTATAGTATTTGCTTGATTCGAATTTGTCTAATATAAATGACGTAATGTAATGTCAAATATTTTGTTTGAACAAAAATATTATTTCATTAAAATAAGCTATGTTTGTCAGAAAAAAATAGTATTATTTAGAAGAAATAATATCAATGTTACAATTTCTTACTCGACACAATATAAATGCAATATATAACATTCGTTGTACATAACAATTATATTATTGAGTGAGAAATTGTAACGTTTTTGCAGGATACGAGAAGCTACAAGAGACATTTGTATTATTTTTAGGTATCGCTGTGCATCGCGAGTCTGGCGGCGCAGGTCTTGGGTGTCCGACTGACGAGAACGGATCAAGACTTCCACAAACCCATCATCATCGCCGAGATCGGAGACACGGTGGACATGACCGCGATGCAGAGAGTCGTCAAAAGGATCCCCAACAAGAAACATCATCCGATCGCCTTCAATCCCCATTTTCCATCGTCGAAGTCCGCGGTGTGCGCGTTGCAATGAGAGAGCTCGTCGTGCACCAGATTCTTCTCGCGTAAATCTCGTCGACGGAAGCAATCGAGGTCTGAGAGGGATGTGACAATATAGTCGTTGAACTGAGCAAGACACAGTTAATCTCAGCGCAGGTCGAAAGAATTGACCTCTCGTTTTCGGCAGTCGGAAACGATTATTGCTTTCGGTAATACGAGTGATTTCGTCTGCTTCTGTTGGCCGTGTGCGGCGTGTGTAAACAAAGAATTATCATCTCGTTTTAATACGTAAATATTAGTTATTCCACCCGGAAAAAATGATTATATATAATTATATAAAATCATATATACATATACACAACACACACACACACACACATCTATCTATTATCTACGTAGCGCGGGGCCAATGAATGAACACGCTCGGAGAATTTCTAGCGTATAGATTTAAAAACAGATTTATTAATCGCGTCTCGCTAGTATGCGGCAATAATTACAACGTAGGTTTATATAACAACATTAAAAATACTTTTACATTGTGATAATAATTATATAATAATAATAATAATAATAATAATAGAGTATAATGCAAAACATGTGTATATATATATATATATATATATATTACAAATTCACAGAAGAGAATTCAAAATTGCTAAGGGAAGAGTAGTTAAATATTATAATTTATAAAAAGTATGTTCGTCGAAAAACCGAAGAAACGTAACTGGGCGCTCGATCTCGAGAGAAAATCCAAATATGAAACTACTTAAATAAGTCAGACAGCATATATTTCTGAAAGACTTCTTAGAAATATCTGAAAGATGTCTAAAAAAAAAAAAAAAAACAGATGTCTTTTAGACATCTTTAAGACATTTTTGAAATTTCTGTTGTTTGAGAGCTTTTTATAACGTATATTAATTCTCTCTCTCATTTTATCTCTAATAGGAGATAAACAAAGATATTTTCCAATAAATACCCGATACGCGAGGATACTTTCGAAATAAAATTTTATTCAACCAGCATCAATCGTGCAAAATCTTCGATTCAAGCATGCCGATGCAAGCGACCAAATTTCTTTATCTCATCATATGTACAATTTTTTTATGTTATATTTGTCGAAAATTCATCTAATTGGCATAATAACCGCAATGATCTGCTTATGGCACAATTCTCCGTTTATACTACAATTGCAGATAATGCGTTAATACGCACGAATAAATACGATTGATACGCAAAAAAACAATTGGAGAACTTATCACCACACTCGTCTTTCCAACGAACGTACCGATAAAACTTGGCTCTACAGATCACGTATCTCGCGGCGACCATATTTCGAGGATCAGAAGACGTAATGCGAAAAATTGGAAGAGTAATATGTGCGTGCACGATTTGCGCAATTCGAGCTTCGCGTAGTTCATAAATACATATATGTACGTTATCGCAACGATAATGATCGGTCATCGTTGGATAATAGCAGTTCTGACAAGTTTCGCCGATAAATGATTTTTGCTCTCGCTACGTTGCAACAAAATCATATCGATCGTCTAATGTATTTATTAATAGATCGCTATCTACTCCCCCCCCCCCTCCCGTATAGCTAAACCACGCGGATCAAACTATCTATTCGAGACTCTTCATGCCAAGAAGGAGGAATCGTCACCGATATATATAGTTCCTGGCCATATTATTAGACGCAGCTTAATTTTTTATAATTCATTGACTTCTAAAGACCAGCTTTATATAATACGATTCGTCTATCGATCGAATTATGTTGAGGAATCATGATTCTACAAAAGGTATTTTTTATGACGTTATTTCACTCGGCTGTTACAATTATTATGGGTAAAACGAATGATTTAACACCTTAGAAGGTAAAAGCTGATTGACACCGAAATTATTCTAATCGAATAAACATAGTAGCTTTCCTTCCCCTCCTAGCCTGTGTTCTATTAAAATATCAAAGTACGTCTGATAATATGGCCGGGGACTGTATACAGACACTCTCGTGAGGACGAAAACCGTCTCTCCGAAACCCTTCCCGAAGAACCGACGAGCCCTAAATCGGGCATATACATTATTATTATCTGTGTTCTATCTGACAATATAACTGACAATTACAGTCGTTCTCATCAAGACAAATAAGTTTCACTAATTTACGGACGGTGCGGTCAGTGTGATTTGATTACTTCCTTATCAAATTGCAGGTTATCACATATTCTGTACAACGATTATCAAGATGTAAAATTACGAGTTCGAAATTCTTACATTTCACTGATTATCCACGCCATATATATTTTTTATTTGTTCGTTCGTTCCTTCGTTTTTCTCTTTTAATTATTTAATCGCTACGAGTCTCTCTCTCGAGTGTCCATCTCCCTTCCTCAAATATCGCGCGCCTCGATATACAATTCTCAGTCTCCGGCTATACCAGGAATAGAAACGGCGACGAATATTCTCGTAGCCTACTTATTCAAAGGTGACACACCTACGGGTGTCTCCTACTATAAGTCAGGCTTCGTGAGGGGTCTCCTCGGCCATGCGTTCTTCTCCAGAAGCTTCTCCTTGGTCTCCCACAACTGGTTGAGCTTCTCGTTCAACGGCGCGGCGTACGTCTCGAGCCACTCATGTATCGTGTAGTTGTCGTAGATGTCCTCCATTGCAGTGCACATGTCCTTCCTGATGTACATAATCTCCATCTTGAACCTGTCCAGGTCGGTGACCGCGCGCTCCACGTAGCTGGGACTGGCGAACGAGTACTTGACGTTGTACGGCTTCAGCCACCCTTTGTAGGTGTTGTCTTGCTCCATCTTGGCGATTTCCTGCGTCAGCGAGTAGAGACGCAGGACAGCGGTGTAGATCGACACACCGTGGTAGCTGCACTTGGTCCAGCCGTACTGCGGCTCCGGTATGCTCAGCGAGATGATCCCGTCGCATTGCAGCGCCTCGGACAAATGATGGGGCAATTCCACGGGGAAGTTGCCCGGCGCCGGGGCCTGCAGTATAGCCAGGTTGACCGCGAGAGAGGGTAGGCCGACCGGTAGGAGCTCGCAGAGCACGCTGAAGTGATCGTACCGTTGCCAGCCGGTCAGCATGACACCCTTGAATGTGATCTGACCGGAGTACTTCTGAATAATCTCCAGCCAGCGCTGATGATTCTCTATATGGTACGAGATATCCGTGTAATATCTGTCCGGGAAGGTGGCACCCTTGAACGCCGTGGCGACCCAGACCTGCTTCCAAACGGCGGCGTAACTCTCCCACAGCTGATCGGTCAGCGTGGTGCCGGGGTCGGTGGTGTACTTCCAAACGACCGGCTCCACCATCGAGTGCAGACCCTTGTCGATGATCTCTTGCGGCGAGATCTCGCGGAACTCGTCGTCCCACATCAGCACCGTCAGCTCCGGGTACTTCTCCTTTATGTACCTGACCACGGTGGACACGTGCTCCAGGAACAGCTGTCGCTTACCCCACTGTTTCTTAGCCATTACGTCCAGACACCTCGAGCACTCCCCGATCTGATAGACCTCGTCCGCGCCTATGTGCAGGTACTTCGACGTCGGATGAGCTGACACAACTTGGTCGATCATCTCATGTATCAACGGGAGCGTCCGGTTGTACATGGGACACAACACTTGCGGGTAATGCGGCACCTCTCTGAAGTCCCTGTACTTGTTCAGCTTGAGAACAAATTCCATGTGACCAAAGGTCTGTATCAGTGGTATCACAATCAGCTCGTTCTTCTTGGCTGTACTCTGAATCTGCGCGATATCCTTCCTGGTGTAAGCGTTGCCAGCGTGGACATCCTCGATGCTGTCCGTGAAGGGGAACATGTCCTCGTACTCGATGAGCACACCGGTGGCCCCTAGCTTTCGCAGCAAGGGAAATAGGTAGTTGTAGTAACTGATCTTTGGCGGGGCACCCTTCAGGTCTAAATGGACGATCTTGTGACCCTTGAACAGCGGAGTACCGTCTGCAAACAATTTGTCGTGAGTAAAGTCATTAAACATTCTATCCCTACCGTTTCTCAGGTTTCCCACGAACTGTCCGTCCAGCTGCTGCCTCCTGGCGATGCTCTGAGGACTGTCCGTGTCACCCGGGGCGTATGAATCCTCCGATCTTTGCCGGCCACCAATTTTCCCCGATATTTCATCGATCTCGTTACTCAATATGTGGTATATCACGATCAGCAGGATGAAGCTGACCGTCACGATGGCCATCAGCGAGGCACGTCCACGTAGACGCGTCATGACGTCGTCGTCGTTCGCGTCTACGGCCTCCCGGAAAGACGGATCGTGCGTTTATCGCACTGGGACCTTCATCATTCGCTCGATCTTGACGCGAGTGAAAAACAGCAAGAGAGCGAGAAAGATAGAGAGAAACACACAGAGAGAGAGAGAGAGAGAGAGGGGGGGGGAGATAGAGATTTGCCGAAAAACTGGTAGACGAAGACGTGATTATCGGCGAGAGACGCGAGGAACGCGTTTGACAGCGTTCCTCGTGAAGTCGTGAATCTCCATCCGCATTCCCGCGTCGCAGAAAGGCTTCGTCCGTTCGCCTCGATGCCGTTTTATCGACGTCGCGGCTGCACCGACGCGCTCTTTCTCTCGTTTTCTCTTCCGCACGAGACGCGAAGCGAGAAACTGACTTGGCCGAGACGCGATTGGCGCCGGATCGAGTTCTTATTGAGCACTAACGTCGTCGATTAGCAGTGGTCGTTTTCGCGAGAACGGAGCAAAGAGAGAGAGAGGAAGATAGAGTCGGGCTTGCTCGGACCGCACGTTCGCGAGCAGGCCGACAGGCGTGGAGCAGTCGCGCGTTCTGTCGGCGGCGCCGAGAGGCAGAGAGGAGAGATGCTTTCTCTCCCGTCTACGCGCGCGGATACGCGTTCGCCGATCCGTGCAATGCGCCTCCCGCGAGGCGCGATAATTATCGATTCCCTCGATGCACCGGTCTGCTGCGAGCGATCCGTTCGAATGTTCTCCGAGAGATAAAAATAAGCGACCGCGCAGCTGCACGGTGGTGCATCGTGTGGCATCGCACGAACGCATTGTCGTGATAATACGTGCGATGAAATCTTCAATGGGCGAGTGAGGGCCCGATGACTCTCTGTTTACGTCACGATGTGCAACGTGCGATGATGTGGATGCATAATTGATATTATTTAGAAACGAGAAATATCCCGGGGAATAAATTATTATATATGATTATATATAATTATCTAAAATCGTATATAAATTTTGCTCATATATGTGGTTACATATATGATCATATATACGATCGTCTATACGAGAAAAAAAAATTATGTTACGTGCATTTAATTAAATGTAGGTATCGTGTGCTGTCAGAAGCACAAATAAGCATTTACTTCGATATGTATTTGCATATAATTTATAAACAACAGTTTATTTTTTCGTTGTGGACATATATGATTTTATACAGTCGTATGAGCAAATTTCATATATGATCTTTTCTTCTCTGGATTACTCTTTCGAGCTTGAACTAACGTATGTGAAATTGTAGAGAAGAAAGGAGTGAGGAGTAGAGTGAGAAAGAAGCATCGTTCACATTAGAGCATTTAGTATTATCTTGTTCTGATGAAATACGAAAATAAAATGCCACAAACGATGTCTTATTGTGTCATTCAAACAACCGTTTAAATGATAAAATAAACTATCTATGTTAAATACACCTATTCTGCATTTTCACATAGGAAGGGAGATAATTATATAATTACAGGTTTAGAGAGAGAGAGAGAGAGAGAGAGGGTGGGGAGATATATAAACCGGTTTGAAAGAAATAACTGCAAGGAGCATAATTTACAATTGCATCATGCGCCAATAACTTGTTACATTTTTTAAATAAAAGCCCGACTAACTTACCGTTAAGTTGCACTACGACTTCAAATCTTCGATGAAGTAATGGTAAAGCCTTCAATCTATTTCGGTACGGAGCGAACATAGCATAGAGATATAAGAATAGAGGAAACAAGCCTGTAAGTGGAAGTGATAGAGGCAAAGAGAGAGATGGATGCCGAGTGTCCTATCTGTCTCTTTCTAGTCACGCGCTGGAATTGGCTGCCGCGCCAACGACGATATAGCTATACATTTTTCTCCATCCAATTCAAAGAAACTGTCATTGCTAAAATGATCACTGCAAATATATGCTGTTTTCACTTCAAAATACAAAGGTAGTTGAAGTATATTCAACCATTTATGCCTTATATCTACATCCTTCGGTAGCCTACAACATTTACATATTTTTTTAAATGTAGGAAAAAATAACATATAATTATTTGAGGTTACGTATTTGTACTTTCTTACGAGTGAAAANCATGTGCACGCATATTTACAAAACGAAATTTTAGTCTGCTTTCTCCCCTCCTGACGTCGCGTGGTCGTCTTGGCGGCTCATTGTAACAACCAATCACAGCGCTCAACTAGAAAGAGACAGATAGGACACTCGGCATCCATCTCTCTCTTTGCCTCTATCACTTCCACTTACAGGCTTGTTCCCTCTATTCTTATATCTCTATGGAACATAGTGTAATGTTTCCATTGGAAAGTAGCAGGGAATTAGTTATATTTCCACCGACTTAAATTTGGTTCCACATCGCGTTAGATACGAATTAGAACCGGATCGAAGGTTTCGGTGGAAATTGTACTAGTGGCTGCTTGTAGCGGAGACTCAAGGGATCGATTGTATATCTCGAAATGTAGAGAGAATTATAAAAATGAGCAAATCCACTACGTGTTGACCAATGAAATTATAAATGTTCGAGTAAATTTGTTCACTTTTGTAATTCTTATTACGTTTTGGTATACATGATCGACCCCCCCCCCCATAATCAATAAAAAAAGAAATAAAAGTCAAAACAGTTCCGATCTAACGGGCCATTTAGTCGAGACTCGAATCTTATTCTGTTAAAACTCAAAACCCAATTAACCGATACTTATCTCACGAGCCTTACTAACTTCCAATTAGTTTCTCCCTGATCTCGCTAGATGGTGCTAGATAGGTCTGTTGACAGTGTTTAATTGCGTTCCATATTCGGCTTTGTTCTTAACGATTCCATACGCACATATACTTTCAATGAAACAAAATTTATCATGTCGAAATTTAATTGCAGTCTCCGCTATGATTCGCCACTGATTTTACTGAAAAGTCGAGGTTGTAATACGATTCGATGACAGATCAGCCGAATTTTTATTTTTCGAGTAAAACCCCAGACAACATAAAAGTTAAAACTGTGACATAAAACGTCTTAACGATACTTCATAGACATCTTACTTAAAAACGATCTTAAGACTTTTTAAAGATGTCTTAAAGACGTTTTATGTCCCGGTGGTTAAGTTTTGTGCTGTTTGGGACTATTCAACCGCAGATCGATTTTTTTACTTTCAAGTAATACGATTCAAGAACAGGATGAAAAGTCTTGTTGTTTTAAGATAATGCGAATTAACGCGGTGGATCTTCAAAGGAGCTTCCATCCCTTATCAGCATAGCCGAGTTAGATAAACCATTGTCTCCGATTTCTATTACTCGCCGAGACCTCGCAATTTCACTTTCGACTTGACGATTATGATGCGCGACCACGGTTTCCGATGAAGTGTGGGGAGAATTTTTAAGAAGATAAAACTGAAGCGAGCGTAATTGAAATGAGAATGAGAGAAGGTGCGCCACAGTGAACCAGTGAGCGGAAGAAGTCGCGAGACTTCCTCCTAATCAAATCGCCCAGCTTGAAGCCAACTTTTCTCCAACCTTCTTCGACGTAATCGAAACCACAGTTATCCCAGTCCACTCGTCACTTCCCGCGGGGACACCCGTTAGACGACTAATGAACATGAGTCACGCCTCTGCGGCTACGAAAGAGAAGCAGGGCCATGATTCTAGACAATAAAGCTGTTTAATGATGTAGTGCGCGTTCCGAGACACGCGGTCGGCGTCGCGAAAAACGTGCGCCGCGATCCCACATTCCGCACTCTCTCTCTCTCTCTCTCTCTTTCTTTCTCTCGTCAGAGATGCCAAATCAAGAAAAGCAAAGATATCGCATCGTGGGGCGCAAGTTTCTCAAATATTTTCCCCAGCAGGAAAAAATGAAACATGACCTTATCGAGAAGAGTCAGGGCAGGTACAAGGGAATCTCCCCACCGATTGTTTCTCGTCTATTGAATAGTTGTCTTTTAGGTACAGCTCCCTCGAGCAACGAGAAAGTTCGCTAGTTCAGTTCACGTTGAGCTCTCGTACAGTACGTGTCGTCTCTACGCAGTTTTGAATATCCCTTCTACTGTGTGTGTGTGTGTGTGTGTCGCAACACAAGGATTCACCGTGAACCGAAGCATCAGTCGTCATCGAGACCGCACTAATCATCCATCTCTTAATACCAAATCCGTCGGATATACGCAGTGGTGCGCCAAGAATCCTGCATTCTCTCGGTCGATCATCTCCTAGAAGAATTGCAAGCTGACGTTTGGTCAGGATCAATGAAACGGAACCGACTTCCTCAACTTGCCTTCTTCGTCCATGAAATCAATGTCGGATGAGTTCACAGAGTTACAATTCCTGGCCATATTATCAGACGCATTTTGATTTTTTAACAGAATACAGATTAGGAGGAGAAGAAAAGCTATTAATTTTATGTTTACTCAATTAGAATAATTTTCGATGTCAAACAGCGAGTTTTTACCTCTGCAACCTTCCGAGGTATCAAATCACTTGTTTTATCTGTAATTTTTGTAAACAATATAAATATTTTTCACCAAAAGAAATATTTTTTTAGTTAGTAAGCGAGGAATTTGAAGTTTCAATTCACGAATAAACAGAAATAAAACGAAATTTCAATTGACGTACAATCAAAATTCACGTCTGTCCTCGTTATTATCAACAATGCAACTAACGCGGTTTCATGCTTGTTCTAGGTCATTGTAACAGCCGAGTGAAGTGACGTCATGAAAAATATCTTTTATACAATAATGGTTCCTCAACTAATTATTATGAAATAATTCGATCGATAGACGAGCCGTATTATAAAGCTGGTCCTCAAAAGTCAGTGAAACGTAAAAAATCAAGGTGCGTCCAATAATACGGTCAGGAACGGTAAGTCTTCGGGATCGAAATTTCGCGAAAACTTGCAATCCGCAAGCGGAATCCTCTTTTGTCGCACGCGCGCATACACATTTTTCTCTCCTCATCGAGCGAATAACTCTTCTCTGAAAGACGGAAAGCTTTCCGAACGTAAAATGAGAAAGAACGATAAGAATTTTCTAAGATCCTTTGCATTGCCAGGAAAAGTTAAATTTCGAAAGTTAGATTTGCAGGGCGCTTTTTAACACCGTTATTTCGTCGTACCTGCGAGCGTATACCTTGCATCCGCTTTGTTACGCTCCAACGAAACCGGGATAACAATGCGCTTCCGTGGTGACTTAGGTGGGACAAAGAATTGCGGGATGATTATTCAGAAGTAGTGACTCAGTGTGCACGTATACGTACACACACACACACACACACACGTGGTGCATTAATTCCATGGAGTTCCGCGACTCGACAGTACGCGGCTGCGTCATGAGAGACTGTTATCAGTGCTTAGTCGCCGGTTATCTTACGTCAAATTAGCGCGTGCGCGCGCTCACGTAATTTATCGCAATTAAGTCACTCGTCGCTCGAGATTAACTAGAATTCTCGCGTCGATAGAAAAAATAATATCGATTTCAACGCGAGCCGATCGCGCAGAACGCTGTTTATTGATTTTTTTGCAGTCGGCCCGCGTTCGCCTTCTCTCCCGCTTTTGGCACCGTTTCAAATTCCCCGGACGCGCAATCTGTAATCCGTGAGATTTTATGGCAGCACGCGTGTGCGTGTGTGCGACATGCCCGAGTCTTTTTACTTATTATTCGTAACTTTATACTGGTCGCGTTTTTTGTGTATTCAGCTGCTGACTAACTGCGTAAATATCTCTCAGACGCAACATCCCGAGCGTGCGCGAGACTGAAACGTGCGGGCGGATTAATTGGATTTTTTCAGTTTCACTCGCTGTATCGCACCAAGACAGTCTCGAGAGTCAAAGATTATATTTTGGAAAATTATACTTTAGATTATTTTGAAAACTATGCGTCAAGAAGTCGAAAGCCACCCAAACAATACAAATGTCCAAAATCGGGACATGTCTTTTAAATATCTTCAAGTTGTCTTGAAGATATCATAATATAAGACATCTTTAACTCGTTTTTAAGACATGCCCAAGAGACATCTTATGTCTCGATTTTAGACATTGGTGTTGTCTGGACATTTGTATTCCGCGTGCGAATTTCTTTGCGTTTCTCTTTTCACAAGAGTCAGTTGCTACCTGCCCGAATCGCACGTCTGTTTTCTATCCCTGAACCAAGGCTGAACTTTGTTTCTTTCTCCTTCAAGTTAAACTACACACTTCTACCGCACTAACGGTAAAAAAATACAACCTGGTTCAGGAATACAAAACGTGATGAACGCACCTCCATCAGTTTCTCGTTTCCGTAATTTCCATTGGCGAGCAACGGTTACACGGTGCTACCGCGAACGCTATCGCGTTGCACACGTTTACGAAGGAAGGTGCGTCCGTTATGTGTGCGTGCGCGCACACGCCCCGATCGTGCTTTCCTTAAGCAAACGACACGCAGCATTCTCGAAGCTCTTTCGCGGTAGTCCACGGCGATGACTACAAGATAATGTAACGTTACAGCGCCAGTATGTTCGTGAACGCGCTCCGGTGAACGTGCTGCGTCCGCAAGAGAAAGACTCGCCGTCGCGACGTACGATCACGCGTGTGTCATTCTCTGATATGATATTTGACAACTATTTTCTACTTTATCTTCATTGTTTTTTATCTGACGAAATAGTGCAGTGAACAGATGTGAGTGTGGCATTGTCTGTTAAAAAGAACTTCGGGGGAAAAAGGGAGGAAAACGTGTCCGCCGATCATTCCGTCGGTTGTGCTCTCGACGGATCGATCGTGCCATCAATTACACGACGAGGGCCGACCGGAAGAAGGTAATTCGTCCTCGTGTTCAGCAAATCGTAGTCCGTGTGACGTGCGCATTGTTACTCTCCCGCGAATGCACGATGGATAATCCGGATAAAACGCGTGTACACGACGAGACAACACACGTGGTGGGCCGCAACGACGCGCCCGGAATTTTCAATTCTCCTTCGTCCCGGAGACGCGACGTGAGAGCATTCCCTTCTTCCTTTCCTTTTCTTTGCGATCGCGCGCGTGCCGAAATGTCCCGCGCGTGTCGCGTTTGCGTTCAAGCGATTCTGTGAATGTGCGACGAGAGCGGTGCCACGTACGGCGGAACGTCGTCGGTCGTCCTTTGACGCGCGAAGAGGGAAAAGTGAAAGGACCTCGTGCGTGCTTTCCGAGTTTCGCGACTCTAAAGTCCACACACGAGGCGGTGTAAAGTATACACGACGTCGCGCGATCGACGACTCGCGGATCTCTTTGTTTCGAATTATTCCGCGGAAGAGAGCGAGCGAACGAGTTCAAGTAGATGCGGTGATTAATACGAGAGAACGAGGATTGCCGTGTCGAATCGCGCGCGTATTCGATACACGGACAGCGCCAACTTCTTAAGGATACGAAATTGTTTCTCAATCGGTTTTCACTTCGGAAATTTCTACAGACGCGAGATCATACAGCTACCAGTAAAATGGCAGGTCCCTGTAATATTCCTAGAATATTATATGAATGTCATTCAGTATTGAAATAATATTCTTATAATATTCTAAGAATGTTATGTAATTTTTTTTTAATATTGTAGGAATGTGTTTCCATCGATGTTATATGTCCGCTTCACTATAATATTCTTGGCATATTATAAAAATCTTCTTAGAATATTGAAACAACGAATAATAATAATAACATAGAAAAAGATATATAAATAAAATACATATATATATATTATTTCGCTGTTCGCTGGCCGTTCGAGCGATCATGTCGTTATCACGAGAGTTACCTAATCGCGCATCGCTTCGTCATTATTACGCCGGCAGGTGTTTTTCACGATATAGTGATCGGCATTTCGTAATAGCAGCGCAATTTCGCAATAGTAAAATCAATACTGGCGCAACTTTCTGTGGAACGAACCACCGACGCGTGTCGATCGAGATTGAAGAGATCTCGCGATCTCTGTTGCAAGAGAAGAGAGCAAGTGAGTGAGACAGACGAACGAGCGCCTCTTTCAATTTCGAAATAATTCGACCGGCCGATCGGCGGTAGCGATGGCGACGCTCGGCGGGTCACGTGACCGTCTATCGATACCCTGTCAATTTTTGCGAGGAGCGCGGCGCACGTTTCGAACAGTCGACCGACTGGTCGTCGATCGCGATTTACACGGAGTTATTAATTTTATCTGGGAGTGCCGTTTCTTGCGATATGTCCACGATAAAATATCGCGGAACTAGTTCACCGTGCCGTATCAATCTGACTTCATCGGTTGGTCACTTTGCGAGTTCGCAACAACGCGTGTCCACGTTGGACGCGCGCCAACGTTTGCGCGTGCACGATACACGTGAAATGACACACTATACTGTCATACTCGGTGGAACACGATCGATGACACCGCCGTCGTATCGAGAGGAAAACACAATCGTAGGCAGTATCAGACGTCTGATAAGCGTATGTAGTACACCAGGGGTCATGTACGACAAAACATTGTAACTAGAGCTACTTGTACGAGTCTCAAACTTTACGCTTGCAATGCTTAAAGTAGAGAATCGTAGCAAATTGTATACTTATTTCAGTACGTTTGAGAACAGAGCGCAGACCGGTGAATAAATGATGATTTAATAACAATGATAAGACGAACGGTTCAATTTGCGACAAAATAACCTCATCGTGAAAATAAATTGATAAATTATTATAACAATATACATATATGTTAAGTACATAACGCTTATTTTGTTCATAAGTTGAAACATTTGGGATTCTAATTTATTAGATTTCTTTTAATTACGTTCCAAGGACAATAAATCTTTATTCCAAGTCGAGAGCACGCTTTGAGAAAGATACGCTCCTGTTGGCTCAAGTATCGATTTTAACGCCGTGGAACGTGCCTCTGTGCCGCTTCGCGTACTCAACGCGCGCGTGAAAGAGTTAATTGATTTCTTCGCTTATTTCTTACATTGAAAGATTGTCTTATCCCGCGTTTGGTACATGCTCGTCTCTCTCTCTCTCTCTCTCTCCCCCCTCTCTTTTTCCCTCGATCGAGCATTTTTCTGCGAATGTACCGACTTTCGCGAGAGCACCCTGTAAACGCGTAACATTCCTAGAATATTATATGAATTATTGTTAAATATTAAAATAATATTCTAAGAATATGCCCAGAATATTGTATAATATTAAATAATATTACGCGCTTATAGGGCATTAGCTCGGCTCGCGACGGTACGCGATGGGTGACGCAGCGGAAGTTCAGGGCAAGTTAATTACGCTCGGGTCGAGGCGATCGCGCACCTGGTGAATGGTTTTAACGGGTGGCAACCGAAACGGCCCGCGACCCTCCTCGTCGATTCTCGTCGATTGAACAATTGCGAAGGCCCGCGAGCGAGCGAGGGAGCCCCCGCATACGCATTCCAACGAATTAACTTTAAATGGCCCGCGGGAGGGCCGGCTTTTGCTCCCGCGAAGCTCGACACGTGCGTCGAAAGCCAACTTGAGTAAACTTTTGAACGAACGCCTATTTTAGAAGCGCGTGCGAACCTCCTCTCTGTTCCGGCAACTCTTCTCGCCGAGTTTCTTCGTTCGAGAGAAACGTATACAAATGCGCGCACGCGATGCAGATCTCGTCTACTGCTGCACTCGGGGAAATGTTTTGCTGGTTCAACTAGAATTTCGTTTGACATATCGAACGTTTAGAAATCTCATTATCGGCTTGACGAGTTTTACAAATCGCAAAATTACGGATGACCGTCGATAAAGCGTTGATTAGTGAGAACGATAGATAAGCGACGAATAAGAGTAGTATCTAATCACATCTCGGAAACGATAACCAGTTAACAGTCCCAAATAAAGATACGCACGAAGAAAAGGAAATTGGTTGAATTTACGTGACGATGAATGGACCAAGCGCGTTTCGACGGGAGAAAACAGAATTTCTGTTTTTTTAAGGTAGTTCTATCGTAGAGTGGCGGATTTTCAATGGCGATATTAAAGAACCTCTGCATAAGATTATTATTTATTGAAAAAAAAAAACTTCCTTTTGACTTTACTTAACTATTTAACTAATAAATTAATTATTATTTTGAGTGAAATTAAGAGAAATATACACGCAATATTATAAACAGAGATATTATGCTACAGCTATCTTAAAAGACTGAATTGGTTCATAAGAAAACGAAATTCTGTCTTCTTCAGTCGAAACGCGCTCGAATTATTTATTGTCCCGTTAATTCAACTACTCTTTTTTCCATGCGGACTATGAAAATATGAAAATGTCGAATGCGTCATGCTCGTCGCATAGGAAAGAGGTATTGCAATTCGAGCGATTGTCCACTTACGTCTACGTACAACGTTTCGGTACACGTGAAATCCGGATTAGACGCGAGGATATATTTTGACACGGCGGCTATTTCGAACGCGACTTGACGCGGCGAGGGCGAGACCGATACGCTTATTTTTAGAAATGTCCAATGTTATTAACCTTTGACCGCATCGATAGCGAGATATCCGTTGTAAATACACGTTCCTCGGACACACTTATCCACTTTTTTTATCCACACGTGGAAGTCGATCTGTTACTTCGATCGAACATGGAAGATCGATGATGCCGTCCGTAAAGAATGTACACAGAGACGACGCGACGCATACCTTTGGAATTCCGTGTCTCCGTTTATTGACACTCGTCAAACGTCACCGATTTCTCGACGGGCATGCGTACGTCAACGTGAACGATTTCACGCTTTACATTATAATTAGCGTCACGTGTCGGGGCGGAATCGTTCGAGAAAGGAGTCAAATACACTTTAATGGCTGTTTCTTGTTAATAACGCTTCAAAAATAGTGATATATAATAATAATAACATCACAAGATTCTCGTCTGTCAATATTGATTATGAATGAATATTTGAAAAAACAAACGAATCGCTCACACTCGGTAGAGAACACGACTTGACATTTACGCTATTCAGCTATCCAGGAAATACCTCTCGTTACACTCTAACGTCCAATCCAACAAATTAACGAGCACTTTTCTCTCCTGTTCCTCCGCAGACATTATGAAGAGGACGGAGATCAACATTGTCCCGAGCATGCAGCCGACGTGTTCCACTCGCACGGATAACACTCAAATTCCGGTGCCTATAACATCGCGTTTGCTCAAGGACTCAGAAAGCATTCCTCCGAAACAGAAATTCTCCGAAAACAGGATCCATGACGGGATGAGCGTGGCCGCTCGCAGGGCACATCTCGAGAAGCAGAATTCCCCTGTACAGCTGACGTCGCGCAACAATAATCTGTCGACGTCCAGCATCGAGAAGAAACGACCAGAGACAAAAAAGATGCAATGGCCCGTGTCCGCGACATACGATCCCAATCAAAGGCGCAGATGGATTTCTCAACCAATCAACGGCAAACTTCACACATACGAAGGTAATTTTTCCTTTATTTTTTAATTCACGAGAGTGTAGCAAAAAATATTTGAAAAATTTTCACAAAACTCTCAAAGCGGCATTAAATATTTGAAATTCCTTCGAATTTATAAGAACGACTACGTCAATGTACAGAAGTGTTGCAGATTAAAAAGATTCTCTTCACTTTAGACAGAAATGGTATTTACCATTATCGGCAAAGATGTAGGCCTATATATATAATACGATGCCGAATATTTCATTAAATATTATATTAAATGAAATTTCATTAAATATATATCGAACTGACTGATTTGTAAGATTGATTAAATAAATCTTGTTACTTTTTGGAAATGGGGTAATTGGCCTTCATTTTGGACCCTTCAAGGTGGCCTGATTCCTTAAGATAAAGAGACTGACTCACACGATTATTATTTCTAACGTGGCTCGTACTTATATATTCAAATCGACAAAATCGAGATTCCCCTTGTTATTTTTTAACACCCTTCTTCATCGAGTGCGAATGCGATAAGCGAACCTGCTCGACGACAAGTTAGTGCCAATGCGATTGCAAGATTTCCCTTGACGGAGGCTCTTAAATGATGAAAAGTGCGTGTCGTGCGAATACAGTTCACGGACGATCGACCGGGTAGTCGTGCAGTCGATTATCGCGTCGTGATTCACTTTTGCACATGAAATGACAGCGATGACGCTTTATTAGTCATACCGTGTTTATACGCACGACAGAGAGTATAAATTGACATAGATAATACGTTATTGGTTGCGAGTCATTCCTGCGGAGATTTATATTCTAAAGACGAGTTGTTGTCGATCGACGAAAGCCGGTGTCGTCGATCGAACTCACAACACGTGCGAGGCAAACTAAAAAATAAACGTAGCAGATGAAAAAAACATATTGTGCAGAGAATTATGTTTTGCTTCCTCGGAAGCGCATCCTCAGATTCAAATGTAAATTAGGTAATTAAACGACTGTCGCCTTGCTGGAAGCGATGCATGCATAATGCAGCACGATGCGTCAGAGTTTCATTCTCGATCAAGGTCCTAGATCGAGAGGCATAAATGTGTAACATCTGGATTACACCAATGAAAAGACAGATGGTGTTTCTTATATCCACGCTGAGAAAAAGGAAGAATCAATGAAATTTTGCTTAAACGAGTAAAATTCGAACATAACGTCTCTGGAAAAAATAATATGGTTGCTGTAATGAGTTATCGATTGATTCAACGATTGAACGATTCGATCAATAATTGTATCGCGACGCAAAATATTGCTGCACCAGCGCGTAATTTGTTCAGTGGAGACGATATTTTCTTTACTGGATGATTGTCGATCTTGTCGATCTAGCCGCTATTTTTTTGTCAATGTAAGGAACGTGTCGATTATTAATACTTTACAAAATGTCGGTGTCATCGATGCACGATAAAAATATGAACGATCGCAACAACTCGTAAATCTCCCGTGAGTTTTGCGCTTCGAGTAATCGACAAGCAATCACACGGCTCGCTCCTTGATAATTGACGGTTGATTTTGTAGCGAACCAAGAGCACGCGAGCCTGCAGAGGAAATATCAACAATTGCAGAGGGAAAACAGTACACTGCAGGCGCAATTGCAGGAGAAGGAACAGAAGCTGCTGAAGATGCGAACAGGTGCGCACATTCAATCGGTCGATTAGTTACGACGCGAATAAATGTTAATCTTAAATTATTGGTCCTCACGCGCTCGACTTTTCCCTTCCTTTGTAGTTTCCGAAGCGCTGTGCAAAGAATACGAGCAAATGAAGACTCAATACGACGTAGAGACGAATGCGATGCACAAAGCAATGCAACAGGCGTCTCAGGTGATCCACCAGTTGCGACTTTAATTATAATCGACAAAGTTAATATAGTAAAATAATAAAATTCGACAAAATAGGTATAAGCTACTACTATAAGCGCTATTATCGTGTCCTGAAATGCGCCGGTATGCTTTCAGTGGTATAGGCAAAATCGCGAGCTCAAGCGAAGATCTCAAATCATCGCGCAAAAGTTTCTGCACACCCATCCGGAGCAATCGCTGGACTTCGACGTGACTGACGAAGTGGACTCGAACTTCGAGGATTTGGACCAGCTGAGGCAAACGGTGAAGGGTAAGCGTGATTGCAATTGAGTCGTAACTTTGGTCCTATGTTTAAACCTTTAATTCTACAACACGGTATAGCAGGTTAGCAAAATAGATTTATCTCAATTCTAATAATATAATTTATTACTTTGACTCTGACAATGTTTTAATATCAAAGTAGGTTGCTAAAGCATTGAAATTAAATCTGTAGAATTAAAGATTCAAAAAACGAAGTTTTTATTAGTTTCTAAGCCACCTAAGTAGCATCAAAACTTCGACTCGGGATGCTTCCGTTCTGTATCTTTCCTTCTTTTTGGACATTACGAGCGAAGATCGGTTCGGCTTGAGTCGATGATAAGTTCAGCAATTTCTCTTCCCTCCAAATTACCATCTATCTCATTTCGCGAGAGAAAACGATAAAAAACATACGATCATTGTGGAAAATATCACTGAGAGAACGACGGTGGTTAACAACCGGCCCGTGAACCCGCTTGCAGAACTGAGCGGCGAAATAGCACGGCTCCAGACGGAACTTCATTCCGCCCGGCTTCAGGAATTCGAAGCACAGGAGCAGGTGACGCATCTGACCACGCAGCTGGAGGAGGAGAGGGCCCTCCGGCAAAAAGGTAAAAAAAGCACAATGCCCCGTAATCTCGCACGGTGAAGCACGCCGAACCCATCGATTCGTCTCTGTCGCAGGCGATGAGAAAATTAACGAGTTGGAGGTGTACAAGGAGAACATGGAGAGGGTCACGAAAATGATGGCTATGGAGGTGCAGGCCCTGAAGACGCAGTGCGATCGTGAAAGGGAAAACGCGAAGATTTACAAGAAAGAGGCCGAAAAGGTGCGTCGTCATCCCCTTCCGATTTAATCCCCTGTGAGGTACACGAATTGTCGTTTTGCTCATACAAATGATCCCTGTTACAATTTACTAGCTGGAATAAAAAATAAATTCTCGCAAATTCCCAAAAGCTCTCGATAGAAAAAATCGAACGAAGAATGCGCGGAAAAATGATAGTTTGGTTGAATTTATCTGAAATGGACAAACGTTCTTACGAGTCAAATTCAGTTCTTATAATTCCAGAAATTCTGTTTCCTACGACCAAAACGCGGTTCGCTTCGTTCATTTCAAGTCAAATTCAAACAAACTGTTTTATCCGTGTTATATATGTTGACTTTCCGAGACGCGTCAGAGAAAATCGCAACAATTATAAATCATTCCGACCACATAATAATCCTGATTAACTCGGTACGTACGATTAGGTACAAAAAGAACGGAACGTCTTGGCACACCAAAGCGCACTTCTCATGGCTGAGGTCGGAGACGACCCAAACGGAAGACTGTTGAGCGTGTTGCAAGAGGTGGAGTCCCTGAAGAGGCAGCTGGAGGAGAAGCAGCAGAGCCACGCGTCTCAGGTGCAGATGTTGCAGGAGAAATTGGAGGAGAAAGAGTCGAACGTGGAGTTCGAGATAGTCGAGGAGAAACTGAAACTCGCGGAGTCCGAACTGGAGATGGTGCTTCAGAGGGCCGAGAAGGCCGAGAAATCGGTGGAGGAGCTCGAGAGCGTCGTGTGTTCATTGAAGCAGCAAGTCAGCGAGTTGGAGGAGAAAGCCTCGAGACCGCCGCCGCCACCGCCACCTCCGCCGCCGCCGCCGATGTTGGCGCCCGGTCAATCGACGATAAAACTGCTGACCAGAGAAAAATCGGCTGCGGAACGCACGGCCATAAGCGAAATGGAGAGCATGCTCGGTATCGCGCCGAAGAAAACGCCTACGATTGCGCAACAACCTGGTAATTATGTTGATTCGTTATTTCCTCGTGAATTATTAGATGTACAAATTAATTCGGTCACCTTTACACTCAATGTCCTGTAACTCTGGTTCAATTTAAAATTTTTTCCCTGTCCTACGGTGATTCGAAAGTCAGCCAGCCTTGAGCTTTAAGAAGTACTACAATAGTCGACGGCCTTGCCGATGTAACCTCAGAAGACAGTAGTTCTCACGATGTTATTCGAAAAGAAGGTAGGATGGAGTAAAGTTCATAGAAAATAATGGAAATTCTGTCAAACATTAAACTTGTACTGGACTCTTCGTAAATTGAAACTTTGAATTTCATGAAAAAAAAAAAGCACCGAATTAATTTGTATACCTAACAGATTACAACGCGATCATCACTCATTGGTTACGAGAAAGTTACGTAATTCGCTCGATACTTATACGACACATATCCGGTATTTTTAGTGATCGACGATATCATCAATCAGATCAAAGGCGGACGTTTTACGCTGAAACAAACAGACGTAAGTACCGGACTGTATAAATATCCAAATGTATATGACGTAAAGATGTCGGGGAGACTTTCCAATCTCGGCCGAGCATCTCTGGGAAATTCACTTTTCTTTCGGCGGGTTCTCCGTTCGGGTTGTTTGGGCAAAGTGCAATATTTCCTTCGACAAGCTCTAAGTGTACACGTATGCTGAGCGAGATTGTTGATTTTAGAAACAAAGAGAAGAGGAGCGGAGGAGACGGCAGGAAGCAGAGAGCGCACCGCCAGCGGTCTCCGAGATGTTGAATATTCTTGGTACTATGAGGCGGAGAGCCAAGCCGATGAGGCAGACGATCAAACCGCCGGATGCAATGTCCTAATAAAACCAAAGCTGCCCGCGAAACGGAAGCAATTTACGATTCCAAAAATGTCCGTCGAGTCTCTCAAGTGATTGACCTAAATATATATATATATATATGTTATTACTATTATTATATTCTAGCAAGATATATATATCTCTGTTATCTTACATGTGCATTCATTTTACATACATATGTATATATATGTGTAGGTTTACCTTGCTCAATCGGAATTCGCGCAAAGTCTGTTTTTATATTCGACAGTGGAAGTGAACTTTTTATACCACTGTATGAAAGTGTGTTCGAAGTGTGAGACGAAATCTCTTGTGAAAAGACCGAAGTGGAATATTTCGCTGTATGTAACATTTTAACGTCGGACGAAATAAAGCCGGAGAAATATGAGAGTGGACGGAAAATACATGGAGACAGTTTGCAGTAAGCGTTATGTAGAAGGTGTATTATTACATAAAGCTTCGTACACGTGCTGTCACAATTATACGTCGTCGTACGCAAGGTATAAAAGAAATTGTCTCTGAGAAGCACATCCCTTCCTCCCGTACTATTGCGAGAAGGAAGTTACGCGGGGAAGGGTGAATCGAAGCCGTATCATCGTCGATGCTACTCCCACTCGCGTATACGAGATTAAGAAAGCTGACTTTTTATTTTGTCGATAATCGATTGCAATTTCGAGGCTTCGAAAAGGAGAACGCGCCTGTAAGGTACCATCTCGTCGTCGGTTTCGGTCCACATGCCGGACAGACCGGTGTCCGAGTCCTTCTCCACGGAGAATTCGAAACTGACGGTAGCCTCTTCCGCGAAGATCTCCTCCTCTCGATTGCTCCACAAAATAGCAGGCTCGTTGTCGGCGTTCTTGTTCTTGTTTCTCGCTTTCCTGCCGATCTTCTTGCTATCCTCCCACTTGTACAGCTTGCAGATGAGTATGTAGTAGGAGAAGTTAAACGGCATGTTTTTGTTGTTGGCGCGCTTCACCTCGGAGACCAGATTCTCGAGTAACGGCACCGCAATTTGCGCCGGAATGTTGACGAATCTCTCGTTAATGAGCAAACCTAACTGTGACGCGTCGTTCTCCAGCACGTTCTTTATCATGGCGTTGGCCGCATCCGTGGCGTGCTCGCTCGCTAATTGCTTCAAAAGATCTCTGAGCTGTTGTATGCACGGAAGGTTCTGAAAGGAAGAAAACAATGTTCTCGTGTGAGAAGGATTGCTTAAGGCTGATCGAAGAGTGAGTTTTTCAGAATACAAGAATAATCACGCATCATTTTTAATTTCTCTCACCTGCCTGTCTGAGACATTAATAACAGTCGTGATACCAAACACATCGTTAACATCATCGTCATCATCGTCCGATTCTTCCATGTCGCTGGACTGTTTAACAACGGAGCCCACGTAATTTTGAGATATTATTAAATCTGTAAGTCCACCTAAGTCAATATGAGCTTTGAGGAAGAGCTGTTGCAGCAATATTTTGATCCCATGATAATCTGGATCCTGCGGATTGCGGCCCTCGAAGTCCACTTGAATCTCCATTCCCTAAAATTGTCATTAATCATATCAAGTCGTATTATTTTTTCTTGCTCGCATGTCTGAAGTCAATTAGAATCTATGATGAAATGTAAAAAATACGAATAATTCATATGGGAAATTATAAAATTAAACATAATACATACCTTAGTGTTACAACAAATTATAACAATGCAACGTTACTCACATGTGACTAATAGACAGTAAACGTGTTAGATGCCCGACCAAACAACGGACAAAAACCCGATAAGCAGGATGATTAATATTATCCTACTAATATCGCTTCAGCCCCTATCGAACGAGGACCATTCGGGCTGGAGTGACAGCTGAGCGACGAACGTTCGTTTCATGCACGAGATCACGCGCGTGTCGAGCCATCATTTCCATTCTTTTCGTGATGCGCTCCGGTCGCATCGACGAGAATAAGATAAACTGAACGACCAACGGAATGAAAACTGAACTTGCGGCGCAGGGAAGCGACCGCGTGGTCGTTGTTGTTGGGGTTAACTCGTCCGGTATCGCGATATATCGTGCGGAATACAAATAATTGTCTCACCCACCTGCTCATCCCCGTCATCCTCGCATACTGACGAGTCTCGGTCCTCCTCGTCGTCGCGTTCCTCGTGCAAATTTCCCGGGATATCACGTTTTTTCGCCGGAGCGGCCATTGCGACAGTACTATCGAACACGATGGTGCATCAGTGACTGATGCATTTCGTCAGGTTATACGACGATCTGTCGGTAAACCAGTTACCGTACTGACCATCATACAGGTGGACTCGAATCGCTTCGTTCTGCGGATAAAACGGGCGCGTGATTGCCACTCCCACCGTAGAGTGGCGCCACTCACGCGTTTCGAAGCTTCGCGATCGCGCACGCAAAAAAGGCTGTTACGCTCGCTTAAACGTCGCGTCGTGTGTTAATTTATGCGAGTCCGAGTTCTAACGCAAATGGCAAGCATTCGCACCGGTGGTCGCGGCTATTCGAGGATGCAGCTTGCGTCACATATGGTAAATATGGATTAGAGTTGTTTTATGGTGAGACAGACCAATTGTCTTTATATTTTACTGCACTGATTTCGTATAACCTACGAGAGGCAATTTCACAAAACAATGGTTGATTTGCTCTTTTTACATCGCATCACATCCTCATGATAGTCTCGCGCATTACACGAATCGGCTTACGAAGTAACTTTCATAATTTTTGCTTCGATTTCTATCACAAGGTAATTCTTTCCATACCTGGAATATCAAAATTCATCCTCTCAAATCGAAGACTTAAGCTTCTCTCTCTAACTCTATGGTTAACTCGTCATCTTATGTTAACAAGTAAAAAGAAAAGTCGTGGAATTCCGATTTTTGTGAAAATAATAACATATTCTAACGATAAAATGATCGACGAAAGATGGCAAGTTTACACAAGCTCTTGTCACTCGCGCTACCTCTGAATGAGTGTAAACACAAGTCTCTAAAGCAAAAAACTCTAGCAGACCATCGCTAAGAAACATTACATACTTCGATAAACGAAGTGTTAGCAAGCCTCGTTCCTCGTACCAGAGCTCTTTCACAAAGTTTGCGTGTGAAATGAATCAATGTATTCTGTACTGAAAGAGTCGTCATCGAGAGGAGCGGGTACGATCGTAGCTCGCAGCTGCTCGTTCGAACAATATTGAAAAATCGTACAGCAAAAGAGGCTCGAGCGGCGGGAAGGGCGATTGAGGGAGCGCGCGGCAAAATTCAAATTTCCGCGACAGTCGATCGCGTGCAGCGAAGCGAGGCCGTCCCGCCCGTTGTCGGCGCTGCAACGCCGAAATTCGATTAAAGTTCTCGCGCATGGGCCGAAGGAAATGCCGTTTTCTCGAATTTCCCGGAGTCTGTCAGGTGGCACCACGGCGTACGTCGGTCCGGGCGCTACGTCAGGCGACCGTACTACGACACACGAGAGAGGAGCAGTGCTTTCTGTAGGTTATCGAAAGCACGTCCCAGGCCTAGAACACTTGCCCCGAATCGTAGACAGCAACAATTGACCAACCGGCAGTCCTTTTTGTCCGTGCTCTCCCGTGACGTTTAGTGAGTGCTTTGAGCTGTGGCGGGCGGTGAGATGGCTGTCACTCTCTCTCTCTCTCTTTCTTTCTTTCTCTCTTCTATCTTTTCTCTCTCATCTGTTTTACTTTCTTCTCCTGCCCTCTCTTTGCGTTCTGTTGTTTCTCTGGTGTTTCGTTTCGGACGGATCGAAAGCGTCGTCACTCGGGCGAACGTGTTTTCCGATGCCGCGCGCAGGGGCGCGAGAAGGAGACGACGATCGGCCGTAAGGACCATTTTCGCGCGAGTGTGGCATTGGAAATTGGACCGTGCCGAGGGGACGACGTCTCACGATCGCGTCGCTGGTTTCCTTCTTCTAGATGTTCGGCTGAATAGATGTTTCGACTGCCACACTCGACACACACTTCTCGCCCGGACGTGTACACTCGCGCAACGTGCGTGCGTACGCGCCGCATTCCTACGCCGTATACACGACGCACACAAACAACGTACATGCTCGTACACACACACACACACACACACCCATAGTACACATCACCACACGCGTTTGCAACGCTTTTGGTTCTTGGCTGTTCGATGTTCCTTAGCGCTGTTTCATAATAGCGTAGCTGTCTCACCTGCCTTGGACTGTCTACTTTACGTTCTCTTGTTTCCCGCTTCCTCGCTCCCGCGAGGCGTTTATCGACTCGAACCTCTCTCCGACCGAACACTCGAACTCCGATTTGCGCGAGAGAGATCCAAGGGGAGAAACTATTCTCACCCTCGTTCGTTCTTCCGCCGTTCGTTGTTTGGCTAGTGATGTTATACGCCGTTCTCATGAATAGCCATACGCGAACATCACTGCGTTACGTACAGTTCGGCAACGATTCCGATTCGCGTTTTCCGCGATCGTCGCTTTTAATTCACAGAGAGAGAGAGAGAGAGAGAAGCGCGCATGCAGGGCGATACGATCGTATCACGAACGCCGAAACGCGAAAGCATCTGCTTAGTCGAGGATCAGGCTTTTATCGGCCGCGAAATAATGTTCATAAATTGCACTCAGAGCCGTAATCAGCTCAACGGGCGCCCCCGGCTAATCTGTCCCCTCCCCCCTGGTCTTTAACATTACCTTAACTCGGTAATGTTCTTGCCTATGTTTCACGCCGCCCTCGTGCCCTGCGGCCCTGTGACTGTCACCTCGATTTTCGCCAGACTCTCTCTCTCTCTCTCTCTCTACGGCTCTGATTGCATTTCTTTTTTTACACTTTCGACGCGATCTCGAAACAGGGAAATCCGATAATACTATTATCCCGAGGAGAGCCTCCGGTTAACCGTTGAAACTATTAAGACCATCGTCGAAAGAATCGTCGCAATTCGCAGTGAAAGAGAGATGGAGAAAGAGAGAGAGAGAGAGAGGGACGAGGGCGGGGAAGTAATTACTAACGCGCTAGGAACGCGGGTCGACGTTTATTTCTATCAGTCGGACGTAACGCGGATAAAGGGCCATTAATTCCCGCGGACTCGGGGGTTACGTTTGGGACATTCTAAGAACGATTTATAACGATTACCCCTTTAACGGCATCCTCCGCGCGTATCCACGGATCCGCGCGCTGTTACAAGCCGCCGGCTCCTCACGCGTATCACCGTGCATCGCGCGCTTTTTAAAGCCGTAAACAATGCGTATTGCAATGCGTATTGCAAAGCATGCATGAGAACCGCGTTAGTATACACTTTACATTAGGATATACTATGTCGCGTTGTGTTCTTTGAAAATTTCAAAAAGCATTTGTGTGTGTGTGTGTATACCCGCGATAAAAAACGAATAAATATATATTAAAGATAGAGACGAGAGGAAAAGAGGGAGGGAGAGAAAAGCGTTATTTTGACTTTCGTGTTGAAAGATCGTCGCCTCATCGACGGGCCGAACGCGAATAATGAACTCGAATAACGGAGCCTTTTTTTCACTTTGAATTGCAAAATACGCCTATATTAATAGGATATTTCGTGTAAATCGATTTTATTTCGAATAACGTCGTCGAGGTATCTATCACGATTATATTTAGTTTCGCGAATATGAAATGGAAATAACATCCCCGAATCTCGTATCGTCAGGCTGGCCGCGCAAATTGGCCGCAAAGTTATTTCAGTTTCGAACGTGATATCGCGAAATTCGCTGTTATTGGCGCGAATATCGCGGTGGCCGCGCGACACGACACGTCAGCTTTTTCCCCCCGTTTCATATACGCGAAATGCTTTTTTCGGTTTCTCCAAGTGGCGCGCGCGCGCGCCGCAAACGAAATTAAGCCATATGGCTACATCGTAGAGGCGTGCTGAGGCCGATGCGCCGCGCAACTGGTTGATTTATCGGTGCTTTCGCCGCGTAGCGAAAACTAGCGAGAGGGCCGAATTGGATTACGGCGCGTGCACAAATTGCTTTATTCAAATGCAATTTAAGGTCGCGCGTCTTCCGCAGACTGCAAAGAGGGCTGCTACGTAAACGGGGCAGCGTTCCCTCCCCCCCCCCNCGTAAACGGGGCCGCGTTCCCCCCCCCCCCCCCCCACCTTTTCTCTCTCACTTTCTTTTTTCATTCTCTCTCTCTCTCTCTCTCTCTCTTTCCTTCTTGCGAGATCGTTCGCACGTACAACCTGTCGAATGTAGGCACGAATGAGTTCTCGATGATATTCTTCAACGCGTAGAGACGTGTTAAACAAAACTCCCCTTGGTGACTATTCGCTTCCATATATATATATATATATATATATATATATATATATATATATATATATCCC